TGGGTGTTAGCCAAGTATGTACCACCCCGCTAGGTGATGCCTGTAATATCTCTTCTACATCTAACCCAGCTAGATACTGTGAGCATATGTCATCTAATAGATCCCCTGTTGCACCATCTCTTAGAACTAGTGGACGGCTCTTCAAGTAGTGCTCTGTTATAAAACCATCTCTGATGTAACCACTACCCTTGAGGAAGGTCTGTAGTAGTTTCCCTCTCTTACAACATTCTTCCAATGATATTTCATCATCTTCAGGTGTAAGAGCATCGACCACTTTAACCCACGTGTCACTAGTACGAGCCTTCTTTTTGACAGTCCTATCACTTGAATCTGCTGTCAACAGTACATCATTCGACCTTTTCGAAGCCGCCGATGACATCCACCACCTAAGCTACCAACTAACCTGCATACTTCCTCTCCTACTATCATCAACGTAATAACACAACACAGTTCACCAATATCCTCTTCAGATATCAAACGCTCTTATCGAGATAATATTTCGTCGTGTGCTGCGAGTTACTCCTCGTCTTCGGATTCGCTCTCGACGGTGGGCTGATATGCAGCAGTGAGCTCCTTGTAGAAAGTCTTACCGACATTAGCGCTCTTCTTAGCCTGCTCAGCACGGGCACGGATAGCAGCAACCTTCTGAGCATGAGCCTGAGTACCCTCCTGCTGGGCCTGAGCACGCAGCTTAGCACGATGAAGAGCACCAGGGTTAAGCTTAGCCATCATCTGGCGGTTCTTCAGGGCATTCTTCTTCTGGCCAACACGGCGAGCAGGAGCAAGAGCAGGACGGCAGACAGCCTGAACCTCCTCAGAGTTGATGATCTTAGCCACATCAGCATTGGTCATCAAAGGCCTAGGAAGCCTGTAACCAGACTTCAAGGCAGCACCGGACCTGTAGGAACCGAAGAGCTGCTGGAGACGGTCGAAGGCGGGCTGAGTCCAGATAATGAATCTGCCGAAAGTGCCACCAGGAGCAACCTGCAAGAGGTTGAGACGATCAACCTGGCAGAGCTCGATACCGGGGATGTTACGGAAGGCCTTGGTAAGACCATCATCCTCGGCATAGACGACAAGAGGACCACGACGCATGACATAACGACGG